TAAAACAAAGACAAAATATATTAGTTAAAAATAAAAATAAAATAAAATAAAATTTTATTAAAATTTGAGTTATGACAGTTACCTCCATTTTCTTTACTTTCTGTTAAGAATGAAAAGAAAAGAAAAGAAAAGAAAAGACAAGAATAACTCAAAATTTTAATAGTTGTTTTTTTTTTCTTTCATTTTTTTTTTGTTTTGTTTTGTTTTGTTTTTTTCTGACACTTGAACAACTGAAGAAGTTAAGTGAAAACGGTTTTATAACCACAACGGTCGAATGACCGAACAAGTAAAGTGAAAATGGTTTTATAACCACAACGGTCTAATGACCGAATAAGCAAAGTGAAAACAATTTTATAACCATAACGGTCGAATGACCAAACAAGTAAAGTAAATGGTAAATGGTGATTGAAAACAGTGATTGTAAAAAAGTGATTGTAAAAAGGTGATTGTAAACAGTGATTGTAAGAAATGATTGTCAAAAGGTGATTGTAAATGGTAATTGTAAAAAGTAATTGTAGACAGTGATTGTAAATGGTGATTGTAAAAAAGTGATTATAAATGGTTATATAACCACAATGATCAAATGACCGAACACATGGAATAGCTACAGTCAAATGACCGAGCAAATTGAATGGCTACAGTCAAATGAGCGAGCCAATTTTGAGTGGCTAAGGTCAAATGACTGAGCCAGTTGAGTAAAAATGATTTTTTAACCGAGCAAGAGATGGTTTTTTAACCAAGTAAGAAATGGTTTTTTAACCGAGTAGAAATGGTTTTTGAACCACACAAGAAATGATTTTTTTTAACCGAGCAGGAAATGTTTTTTAACCGAGCAAGAAATGGTTTTTGAACCAAGCAAGAAACGGTTTTTTTAACCGAGTGAGAAATGGTTTTTTAACCAAGCAAGAAACATGTTTTAACCGAGGGAAAAATGGTTTTTGAACCAAGTAAGAAACGGTTTTTTAACCGAGTAGAAATGATTTTTGAACCAAGCAAGAAATGATTTTTTAATCAAGAGAGAAATGGTTTTTGAACCAAGTAAGAAACGGTTTTTTAACCGAGTAGAAACGGTTTTTGAACCAAGCAAGAAACAGTTTTTTAATCGAGAGAGAAATAGTTTTTGAACCAAGCAAGAAACGGTTTTTTAACCAAATAGAAATGGTTTTTGAACCAAGCAAGAAACGGTTTTTTAACCGAGGGAAAAATGGTTTTTGAACCAAGTAAGAAATGGTTTTTTAACCGAGTAGAATTCGTTTTTGAACCAAGAAATGGTTTTTTAACCGAGTAGAAATGGTTTTTGAACCAAGCAAGAAACGGTTTTATAACCGAGTAGAAACGGTTTTATAACCGAGTAGAAACGATTTTTTTAATCGAGTGAGAAACGGTTTTTTAACCGAGGGAGAAACGGTGTTTTAACCGAGGGAAAAATGGTTTTTGAACCAAGCAAGGAACGGTTTTTTAACCGAATGAGAAATGGTTTTTGAACCAAGCAAGAAACAGTTTTTTAACCTAGTAGAATTGGTTTTTTAACCGAGTGAGTAGAGTTGCTACGATCAAACGACCGAGCTAGTTTTGAGTGGCTACGGTCAAATGACTGAGCCAGTTGAGTAGAAGCGATTTTTTAACCGACCGGGAAATGATTTTTGAACCAAGTAAGAAACGGTTTTTTAATCGAGTGAAATGATTTTTGAATCACACAAGAAACGGTTTTTTAACCGAGTGGGAAATGGTTTTTGAACTAAGCAAGGAACGGCTTTTTAACCGAATGAGAAATGGTTTTTGGACCAAGAAACAGTTTTTTAACCGAGTAGAAATGATTTTGAACTGAGCAAGAAAATTGTTTCTTTTAACCAAGTAAGAAAATGGTTTTTTAACCAAACAAGAAACGATTTTTTAACCGAGCAAGAAATGGTTTTTTAACAAAAAAAGAGAGGTTAAGAAACTTTCCTGAACATATTGGATACCCATCTTTGGCAAGAGTCTAGTGTCCTTTATGTTGCACATTTATCAATAGGCTGATGACATGCTTTGCATAAAGTTCAGTGACTTGAGAGCATCTCTAGTTTACTGGGGCAAATTCTCGAATCATTGCAAGAAAGGATAAGTATCATGCCCATTGAATCCAGCTTTTGCTTTTCTCTGCAACTTTCTTTTCTTTTTTCTTTTTTCTTTCTTTTTTCTTTTTTCTTTTTTCTTTCTTTTTTCTTTTTTTTTTTTTTTTTTTTTTTTTTTTTTTTTTTTTTTTTTTTTTTTTTTTTTTTTTGTCAATAGATTTCAATGATTATATTAACTGAAGTAAAGCATCATAACCAATCAGTATCCCAATCTAAACAAGAAAAAGAAGGCCAGGGCATGGATAATATGTATGGATAAAAAGATAAGAGTAGAATGTGGATAATATGGATAGACAATGTAATGAAATTTCCAAAATGATGTGATTTTGAGATAAACAAGATTTTTTGAAGTGCATAACTTTTGATGCAACAATTTTGACAAGGTTAGAAGACATTCAGGTTATAAAGCATTTGCTTCAAGAATTTATTTCTTTGCAACTCCACCAATCTAGTCTTTAGCATATGAGACAATGTCTACTTCCATGCCAAGGTGGACAAATCCAATCTATCTCCTTCTCATGAACTAACCTTCAATGTTTAGAAGACCGATCATAAACCATCGAGCTTTTAGTTATACTAACTGACTTGAACTCACCAGAGGAAGGATTTCTCTCTCTCTCTCTCTCTCTCTCTCTCTCTCTCTCTCTCTATCTCTCTCTCATTTTTGTTCTTTTACAAAGAAAGTTTCAAATTCTTAAATAAGGACTTTGTATAGGCTTGTAACATGGTTTGGGATTAGGCTATTACGAAAGAAAGGATAAAAGCTCAAAATCAATTTCTTCATATATTCTCCTCACATTTCTCTCTTCACAACCCCGGTTATTAATGTGGGTTAACAAGAAGAAAATCATCTTGGCTTTTCTGAATTTGGATGATTGCCTTTTTCTAGCTCAAAAAGGGTAAGCAAAGGACAATGTTAACTGTTTGGGATAGAGAAACAATTGTTGACTTAATGCACTCCAAGAGGGGGGGGTGAATTGGAGTTGGAGAATTTTCGCATCTTTGCAACCACCACACAAAACTTAAAGAGAGAGTTGAGAAGAAGAGTTTGCACAATGATTTTATAGAGGTTCGGTCCAACCACTTGGAGCCTAGTCCTCTACCTTGGCTTCACTCACCAAGGATTTCCTCCACACTCTCCACTAGCAAAAACAATAGTGGCTTAAAGGAGCCACTCAATCCTTTACAAGAAGAAGGGTTTCTCTCAAATCTCACCCCTTTACACTTAAACCCCAAAGATCCTCTCTACAAATCACTCTTGAAGGAATCAACACACCCCCAAGATCACTCACTAATAGCACAAGAAGAGGATTACAAACAAAGATCTCTCAAAGATCAAAAACTCAAGTTAAAGCTCATGTAGGTAGGTAAAGATATTCACTACAATACTCTCTAAACCTCTTCAGATCTGTTACCAACCATATTTATACCCCCTTGCTCGAAAATAGCCGTTACTAGCCGTTGGAGGTCATTAAATGCTCTGTAGGACACAAAAGTCGAGTTGAAGGATTGTCAGGAGAGCCGGCTTAACATTCTAGCGTTGGCTCTGAAGAGCTGGCTTACACTTCCAGAGCCGGCTATCCGGGTTTGCATGCCATTTTGTTTTCCTCGAGAGCCGGCTGCAAAACTTTGAGCCGGCTTTGCAACTTCGACTTTAAATACATTAAATATTCTTCAAATAACTCGACCGTTGTGCGTTAAATGCACCCTCACAGCCGGCTGCAAAGTTGAAGCTGGCTTTGCGTCTTTTCTCCGCGCACGCCAAACAACGGTCTTCAAATTTTTTCCTGTAGAGCCGGCTGTAGCTTCCAGAGCCGGCTCTCTGCACTTCATTTCACCAGAGCCGGCTGCAGCTTTACCAGAGCCGGCTCTCTGCACATTTTAAGTCCTTTTGGTCTATTTTTAGTGCAATCCAAGTTTACTTGCAATCTTTTAGCAACTTAACTACACACTTAAATAAACCAATTAGTCACTCAAATGTGTTTTGTAATCATCAAAATCGTAGGTACAACAACAATGCCTTTCATCATTGGATCTTCAACTTTTCAAGTCAAGGAAACATTTAGGTTACTAGGTCACCCTTTTCTTCCCTTTTTTCTTCCCTCTCTCTTTTTTTTTTTTTTTTTTGATGGAAATTCATGATCAAACTAAAAGCTGTTAAATTCACTGATAAGAACTTTTTTTTGGCTTGTGATGTGGCTTTGGGTTAAGTCATCAAAAAGAAGGATATGAAGGCTCAAAATCAATTTTTCCATAGGTATTTTTCCTTCACAATCACTCTTCACTCCCCATATTCATGATGCAGGTAAATTCACAAGAGAATCATCTCGGCTCTTATAATTTGGACGATTACCTTTTCTTTAGGCACAAAGGGGTGACTAAGGACAATGTAAAGTGTTCAGGATAAACAGACATGGCCTCTCATCCTTGAACGTATTAGCTCTTGAATTTGATCATGATTTGCTATTCTTAGTCTAATGATTACCATCATTTTGATATCTAAAGCCTCAAAACCCGCAAAAGGTCTTTTCCTTGGGTTGTAATGGGGTTTGGTTAAGGTTTTGTGAAAAGAATGGGAATTAAAGGCTCAAATTTTCCCAACATTCCCCCCCAAGTTACATGCCTTAGCTAGGAGCTTTCCATTTCAACCTTTGCCATGTGACATTTGCATTGTCATTTCTCTTTTATCTTTTTTTTTTTTTTTTTGAAAAGAATGGAAATTAAAGGCTCAAAATTACCCAACATGCCCCTCAAGTTACATGCCTTAGCTAAGAGCTTGCCATTTCAACC